CGGACGGGAGGTATGACCCCTATTCTCTATCCTTGACATCCCCCAAGCCATAGTTTTGCCTATAATCTCAGGTCCCTGAAGCCCACCTTTGGCCCCCAGTTTAAGAATTCCTGTTCCAAATTGCATATATTCTACCTATGTACAGTCCTGTGGGTTTTGTCTGAGAGGCGGCACATTCGTTTTCAGGTTGGGGGATTGGAGACTTTGGTGCTGTTGACGCATTGGACTTTCGCGACATAAGACCTAAGCCAGTGACAGAACTTCCCTGAGCTTCAGTTTCTTCACATACAAAATGGTGAGAGTAAGAACTGTCCCACAAGGTAATTGTAGGGTGAGCGTAAAACGACGTATATGCAAGCAAGTTGTAAACTTCAGACAAGCAGAACTTAGCCAAGGATGATAAGTGGGCTTCAGAGTGTCAATAAATCATCTGATATTGTCAGCAAAACGAGAGTTTATCCACCTGTGTGGTTTTCATCAGAGGAGAAGTCTATTACCCCAACGAGAGTAAGACTAAGTGCTGACAGGATGGACGTTATAGCATTGTTTTATTTATTTCCTGGTTCTGGCCCTGAATTTCAGATGGGTGGAGCTGGTAAGTTACTGACTGTCAAGTAGGGGTGGTACTGATATGCACTTGGTAACCCAATGGTCCCTGGTGTGCTCTGCTTACTGAATTACATATTATTTAATTAACTAGTTAATTGACTATTATTTAATCAAGTAGTTAAAGGATTAACAATTAGAGAATGTGTATCAATGTATCTGCATAGTTGTATCATAGTTGTAGTTATGCTATATTTATCAAAATACTTATGTATTTTAAAATGAATAAATAAATATAGCATCTGGGGACTAACACTCTCATTTTTTCAATGAGAATAAATAAATTGATCTTCTCGGTATCTGTTATCTGTATGGGTTTCCCTTCTTCAAAGGGATACTGTAAAAATAAAGATATAGTTATTAATATGTTTAAAATTTCAGAGAAAACTTGAAATATAATGCTGATATGATGATAGTTTATTAGAGCTACTATTAAGTGATATGCACTTAATACATATTAGATTTAATTTTCTTTTTATTTCTTATAGCATAACTGTTTACATTAATGCAATCATGGGGTACAGTGTGCTGTTTTCATATACATTTTGAAATACTCTCATCAAACTGGTCAACATAACCTTCATGTCATTTTCTTAGTTATTGAGTTAAAACGTTCATACTCTGCTTTTAGAAAGATATTTAATTTTCAAAATCTCTAAAGATAATATTGGTCTCATTTTATAGGGGAGTAAACCTGATATTTAGGTTAAGTAATGGGGCAAAGATCACAAAGCTATAAATGAAGAGCTGGAATTTTAACAAAAATCTGTTTGACCCTAAGGCCTGTGATTTTTTCCCCTATAATTAACATAGCCGAAGATGTATGACTTAAGATGACTCTTAAGAAATTTATTCTTATTTTTTATTGCATTTGAAAATTACAACAGTTTTCCAACTCTAAAAAACGTAGGATGTAGCTACAATTAATTTGATCTTTATCTTAAAGTTGAGAAATAACCATTGGAAGGGTGCAGGCAAGGGGGATGACGGGCTTAGATTCGTGTCATTGGAAGATTGCTCTGGTTGTAGGATTGATGCGTTGCCATAGGATGTGACTAGAGGCAAGGAGGCCAAGACAGAGGCTGTTTTAGCAATAGCAGTGGGGCTGCACAGAAGTGAATGGGCTCCATGGCTATCCAGGAGATGGCCTGGATAAATCTTGTCAATTGGATATGGGAGTTCAGCATAGTGGGGAATCAGGGCAGATGCCCAGGTTTCTGTGAGGCCCCTCATAGCCTTTTTCTTATTAGGATGGACAGATAAAGCCTTGGGAAGAGGTTTTACAGGTGACAATGATGCGTGAATCTTGGGCACATGGAGTTTGAGGTATTTGTGAAGATGTTACAACGGCCTTTGGATATTCAGTTTCAAAGTGTAGGGATCAATTACGGACTTACTTTTGGAAGTCAGCAGCATATAGATGGTTAAATCAAGCTGCAGAAGTAGATGGAATTTCTCAAGAAGGGTAAGAAGTGAAAGAGGTGAGGCTAGGATCCCATAGAACACCGAGATTTAAGAGACAAGTAGCAGACACAGAGGGGGCAGCTAGACTTGTGGCAGTGTAGTGTTACAGTAGACAGTGTTTTAAAATGTAAGAGTGACCCTAAGTATTTATTTCAAAAAAATGAAAACATTTATTCACAAAAAGATCTGTACATGAACTTATATCACTTTTATTTTATACTTGCCACAAACTGGAAACAACCTATATGTCCATCAAATGGTGAATGGGTAAAGAAATCATGGTACCTCTGTATGATGGAATCCTACTCAGCAATGAAAAAAGAATGCTCTACCTATAGAAACACAACATGGATGGATCTCAAAGGAATTTGGAAAGTGAAAGAAACCAAACACGAAGGGCTAAATATTGTCTGATTCCCATTAGACAATGGGACATTCCCATTTTTTTTGACATTCCGCCAAAAAGCGAAACCATCAGGACAGAAATCAGATCAGTGGTTGCCAGGAGCCAGAGGTAGGAGGAGTGAACTACCAGGGGAATTGAGGGAACTGTTTGGGGTGATGGTAATGTAGTATCTTGACCATGGTGGCTGCATGGCTGTCAAATGTATCCACACTTACAGACTTGTGGACCCAAAAAGGGGGAATTCTACTCTGTGTAAATTATGCCTCAATAAAGCCAACTTGAAGTCAAACAAAACCTAAAGGAGCAGTCCAAGTGTCAAACACTGAGTATAAATCACACAGGCGGACGGAGACAGGCCCACTGCGTTCCGCACTGGGTAGCACAATCATAGTGCACATTATCAGCTGCATGTGAGGGACAGAAGCCAGAATGCTAAGCATCTGGAGGAAGGCAACAATTGGTGCTTGTGCCCCAGTACTCACTTCCAGTCCCCCTTTCACAGAAGTGAAGCTCCCAATGTTTGGGTAGGCTCATGACCATATAGATAGCCAAGTGACCACGTTCTGGCCAAAGAGATATAAGTGAAAATGTCCTGAGGCAGCTTCTGGAGCCTTCCTTAGGAGACAGCTGGCGTGCTTTCTTTGCCTCTTCTTGATGACTGGAACACAGACATGATGGCTGGAGCTGCAGCAGCCAACTTGGACCATGAAGTGACTTTAGGAATGGAGACCACATATGACAGAGCAATATTTTGAAGAAGCCTGTGTCTCTTTGTTCTCTAAGGAGCAAAGCCACTAAACTGACCTGGGAGCGATTATCTCCAAACTGTTGAAGAGGTAGAAAAGCAAATCTCTTTCCTGTTTAATCCTCTTAATTACCTGCACCTGAACTTAATGTCACCCACTACAGAGAGCAGACAGGAAGGGAGGATGTGGAGATGGTGAGCATGCCCAGCCTGAAGACTATGAAGGCAAGAGTGTAAAGACAGGATGGACTGGGGCATGGGCTGAGGGAGAGATCCAGATTCTCCGTGAAGGGAAACCTGCAGTTGATCCAGAATCTCCTTCCACAGCTCTGGGAATCTTCACTGGGCCTGACTCTGTGGCTTACTCTCCAGGGGAAGGGAGGGGCAGTGAATCAACCGGTGAGGCACATTTTGCTCTGGTCTCCTTCCAGCCCCTGATGTGTCCTGCTCTTTCCCAACTAGAGCCAGCAGGCAGGAATGCCCCCACTTCACTCGCGCCTGAGCCCTCTCCTCTCTCAGCCCAGACACGCAGGATAGCCTTCCCTGAACAACCTACCCAACTGGGTCCACTTCCTTTTTATTCTCCATAAATTGGGGTACATTACAAAACAAACAAACCAATTTTATAAAGATAGACTTCGTAAGCCATTAACATTTGATTCACAGAATTGCACAATTATCACCACAAATTAATTTTGGAACATTCATCGTAGCATCTTATCACCTTTACTTACTGTTTTTTTTAATAGGAATATTTTCAGCCTGCAATGATATATATATATATATTTAAATTTCGGAGCATTGCCTTTCTACTTTAACCTGTGCGCTCCTCCGGGGCAGGAAGTGTGATGGCTATGCCTGTGTTCTGTGCTGCGTCCTCAGCACGTCGCAGACACAGACTTGCTAGGGACCTGGCCCAAAGACACAACGAAAGCCTAAAACGGAGCGGGCTACGCTTCATTGCAGCGGGCCCAGAACACCTGGCCGGGAACCAGGTTCCAGTTCTGGAAACTGTTACGGGTGGAGGATTCTTACAGCCGGCAGAGGCAGGGAAATGTATATCCCAGGGGGCCTATGGCCGTGGGGTGGGGCAGTGGCAAATTGGGAGACTGTATACACGATATCTATTGTTTTCAAAGGTCACGCTAGGGAAGGTGTCACCGGATAACATCTTCTTGGCAGGCAGGAATACGCAGAATACGGAGTGAAACGGGGAAGGGCGTGGGGTCGCTAAAGTGGCGAAACCCCGCATTGAGGCGCCGCAACGCAGCTGGAGTTCTCCTCGGGGAAACTGAGACCCACGCCGGCTGGGCTGGCACAATGGCGTTTCCGAACCCATGCCCAGCCCACTGGGGGCAGTCCTTGCTATTTGCACAGGCCAGACGCTTCTTGCAACTTCCAAACGCCAAGAGCTGCCACCTTGCCAATGACTCAACCGTTTCCCTACGGCCTCCGGGCTGCGCCACCCGCCGCAGCCGCCCCTGTCCCCCTCCCGCCGTCCGTCCCAGGGGAGCCGCCGGCGCACCTGGCGCCTTGGGCGCCGGGGCACTGAGCGCTGGTGGCCACATCGCCCCGGCGCGCAGCTGCCAGCTCGCGTCCTCCCCGAAACCCTTCCGTGGAGTGGCTTGTCTAGCGCCCGGCGAGCAACACTATCCAATTGCTTCCCGTTTTACTCGCAGGCTGGGAGCGCAGAGAGCCTGAGCGTTCCCTTTCCGCCCTCCAGGGGAGGAGGGGGTGCGGGCGGGGAGGGGAGACGACTGCCAGCTCCACCTCGCGCGCGGCTCCGCACAGGCGAGCAGCGCCAGCGAGCCCCGCAGCAGCGCGCCCGGCCGCCGAGCCCCGCGACGGAGTGAGTATCCCCGCGCTGCGCCGCTCGCTGCCCTCGGCATGTTGCCATGGCGACTGCGGCAGCAGGCCGCTCCGGCTCGGGTCTGGTCCAGGATGGGTGTTTAATTTCAGCCCAGTGTGTATGCCGGGTGTTTCTATAGCAGCAGCCGCGGTGGCGGCAGGGGCAGGGGCTGGCAGCCTGGGCTGGCGTGGTCTCGTGCGGCTGCCCCTTGGCCAGCAGGGCCTGCAGAAGGGTATGATGTTGCTTGCGGAGCGAGGCACGGTCTAGGCTTCCCCTTCCCTGCCCCAACCTTCTGCCTCGCTTCTCCGGGAGTTGGCCGCAGTGGCCATTACTTCGATCCCTAACCATGTCAGCATTATTGGACTGCAGTTAGAAAAAAAAGGGGGGGGGGTCCACTGCGGATCGGAAGCAAACGTGGCTTGATGTGAAGCGTGTAATGGAAGGATGATGAGTTAGTGGGTAACAGGAGCCAGGGCTGCAACGACCTGGCTACTAGAAACCATCAGAGGACCCAAAAGAATTGATTTGTTCCTGGGGTAATGGAGAGAGGAGACAGAAACGTGCCAGCGGCAGCTAGGAGTTGAATTACAACGTTTGGCAATGTGGGCAGGGCACGGGAGGGGCGGGGGAGAGAGGGCATGCAGACAAGAGAGGCGTTAACCAGAACCGACACAGGAAAGGGCTCCGAGGGGGTCCAGTCTAGTTCTCGGCTCTGTTTTTGCATCCCCGCATTGCTTGCTGGTCACTCTTTCAGGCTGCTGCTGCAGTGGGGCCACTGTGACGGCGACAGCCAGCTGGTCCACTCTTTCGGTCAGCTTCTCGTCCTCTTGTTCTTTTCCCACAGATACTCTCTGACACTGAGGCCGTCTGAAATCATATTTTAAGTTAGAGATAATGTCACGTTTTCAGATATCAGGACTTTCACGCCAAGCCCAATAAACTCTAGATGCAGCCTTTATCCTTGTGTACATCTAATGATGAAGGTGCAATTTAATCCTCCCAGACAAGGCTGCCAACGCAGAAGGAGAGTGGGTGTGGCGTTTTAGGAGTGAGGGGTCGTGGATTTTAGGCCCTGCCTGGACTGCTGTTGGTGCTGCTGAGTTCCTATACTGGTAACTTAATGTCTCTGAGCCTCAGTTTCCCTACTTCTACCACAGACTCAAAGATGTTTCTTACTCACTCTTAAGTGTTCTTGAGAGGATCAGAGAATATTTCTATCCCTTCTACAGGGCTTTGTAAATTAGAAGGTGTGTACAATTTTAAGAAACTAGTATTGTGATGAAGAGGTGGGCTCTGGAGTCAGATTGGGTTGGAGTCTTTTGACGCTATGTTGAATGACACTCACCTCTCTGAACCTCATTTTCCCAATCTGGAAAATGGGAATTATTAGAGTTACTATTTCATGTGCTTTTGGGGGAAGACTGAAGAAGTTATACATTAAGTTGATGCACATATATCACATTGTTAGAGAGTGACGTAAAGTATGCTCAATAAATATCATCTGTTGCCTATAAGTATTACCTATTATTTTTTATTGTTCCTACAGTCTCTGGCATTCTGTGCATTCTCAGATCAGAACCAAGCTTTTCAGTGGCAGTTGTTGTTGTTAATTTATAAAGAACTTCAATTTGTGAAGCGCCACTGAGAGTAATAGAATCCTAAGATGCCATTGTAGATGTGGAGAATCAACCAGAACCATGGCAGGCTTGGGCAGACAGCACAGAAACTGGGCAACTTGACGTCTGGCATGCTCCATTCTCATCCCTTGTTGTTATTTTCTTAGCCCTGGAGACCATCCTTTTCAAGAGATTGAACATAGATCAAGTTGTCTCACCATGTAGGAGTTAAAGGATAACTGGGTTGTTTGCTAGGGCAGTAACTTTCATCTGTAGTCTCTCACCTGAATGACCTAATATATAATGCATTTCTCCCAGACTTAGCACTTGGGTGCTCAGTAACTATGGAACAGTGTGCTGGATTTGTAAGTTTATAATTCATAAACTTACTTACCTTTCTTCTGCTCCCTCTTGGTCTTCCAGCTTCAGATTTGTGACAGGTGTATTTACCTCACACCTGAAACTCTTTGTGCACAAGGACCTTCCTTATCACGCTCTTCCTCTCTTTCCGTAGGATCTAGATTGCGGCCTCAACCGGCCTCCTCCCCTGATCAGCCTTGGCTTTCCTGTTCCTGGGTGACATCCCAAAGTTCTCCTCCCATTCCATTCCAATTAACCTCCCTATTTCCAAATGTCTATTTGTTCTCTGCTGTCCTTCCTTTGCTTCCTTAATATAATTAGCTTTTTCATTGTTTTCCTCCTTTTTCTGTTTTTCCTTGTGTCTCACAGAAATTCCCTTGTGCCAAATACTGTCCTTCTCCTCAATGTAAACTCTCCTCAAAATGTCATCCTAGGTAGGACAACCTGCTTTGAACATGAGTGAAACAGGCACTCAAGTCCTTTGCTTACTGTGACTTTTATAAAATATTAATGAAAAGAGTGAGTAAAATTCATTTCTTTTATGTTTTAATTTAACCTGCAAATATTTGTTGAGATTAGCACTGGTCAACACAACAGTCATGATTCTCATCATCTGATGAGTTATAGATGTTAAATTAGCAAACCCAGGGGAGTGAACATATAATACAAAGTGCAACGTATGCCATCAAGAGAGAGACCACAGAGAAAGTAACAGAAGAGAACATGGATTAAATTAGGGGGTTAGAGAAGCTTCTCTGAGATACAGATGTTTAATGAGAGATCTAAAGGATGATAAGGAATTGGCCAGTTGAGAAGTGGGGAAGAGAAGCATTCTGGCCTGAGAAGGCAGCATGTGCTAAGGCCCTGAGGCAGGTGACACCCTGACAAATTGGAAGAATTGGTAGTGTGACTGGTGCTTTGGGAAAGAAGGAAGGACAGTCCAGAGATGAAGATGAGTAAGAAGGCCAGGGTAATCACAGAATACCAGATAGTTCCTGCAAGGACTTTGGATTTTATCCTGAGCACATCAGAGAGCCAGAAGAGATTTATACATGGGCATAATGACATTATTAGTGTTCTAAAACTTACAAGATAGAAACTTCAAAAACAAACAGAAATTGTAAAACTGTCTTTCTTCCTGAAAGTATTCAAGACAGATAACATATAAAATGGGTTAGCTAAGCTTCAGAAAGCTATAAACATCTACACCAGGAAAATCAGTATGTCTATATCTGATAGTCTTCAATAAGCCAATGGTACCAATTAAAAATGAAACTGAGTGAAAATAAAGACAAATAGGCATTTATTAGTGAGCACTCTTAGTTTAAGTAAAATTAAGAGCTTAGTTTGAGTAAGAACAAAAATCTAGATAATAAGAAAAGAGGGTGCAAAATCATTGAATTTAAAATTTTTCTTAATGAAATGCTCTGTACAGGATTATAGGATAGAGGACACTTACTATTAGAAAGCTTGAAGGCAGTAACGCTGTCATGTTCTGTACCATGTCAGCATCCCAGTATAGGACATGAAATATCAGATGGTGGAAGGGTTGCGTCTGAGATCGATGTGTTTATGGGAATGCACTTCAGCGCTTTTAGTTACTAATTTGACACCCCACCTACAGAGTTTGCCTTATACTTGAATAGCCTTCAAAACAGCATGGGATCTAAAAAGCACAGAGAACAGGACAGGTGAACTCTTTAAATTGTTGCCATTCCTGCCTCAGCACAGAAGTGGCATTCCTCATTACCCATGGGACACCTGTTGACACCTGTTCCTCAAATGGACTTAGCCTCAGGACAAGTTGAAAGCATCTGGAAGAGATCCTAAAACATCTAAAGTTTGATTTTGCAAATGAATGTTATGTAGGTTCACGAAATGGTAAGTGTGGTAGGGACAATGAGTTATCAGATATTAATGTCAGGTCCTTCATGTAGGTCCTCATTCATTCGTGTAGGTTCATGTAGTCATCCAACTATTTAGCAAATATGTATGAATATTTTCTATGTACCAAGCATTGTCATATGGTGAACAAAACCATCCCTGACCCCATCTACAGGGAACTTACAGTTTAGTCTGCATGGGACTTTGGGTGCTGTGTGACATTGAACTTTTTTTTTTTTGGCTAAACCAGTCCTACTATTTAGAAATGAGTAAGGCGTTTAGAAGCTGATTTTACGATGAAAGTAATGTATCCTTTTAAAAAACAATTTGAATATCTAAACCTTCTCACTTTGCATTTTCTCTCTCAAATCTCAGTCCTTAGAGGTGAGCACCATGACCAGTCTGGAAATCTCCCCTCAGGTATTTTCCATGCAAACATCATAGACTTGGAAACACATACTCATTTGTATAGGTTTAGATATTTCTTCTACATAAATGAAATCATACCACATATGTTTTTCTGAAGCTCGCTTTTTCACTTCATATTATAGTCTGCATAATTTTACATTTCAATACACACGTCTGCTTCATTTGCTTTCATTAAGCGCTTAGTATTTACTTTTGGCATGTAGTTAACCAGGTCTCTCTGATAGGGGTTTGGGCTTGCTTCCACTTTTTGCTATTATAGGCAATGCTACAAAAATACCCTTGTGCACCTTGCAAAGGAATCTCTATACTATTTTCCAGAAGTGGAATTGGTGGGTGAGGGAACATGTACATTTTAAATTTCACTAGATAATGTCACAGTGGCTTCAAAAACATCATATCACTTTACACTGCTACCAGCAGTGTAATGTTTGCGAGCCTCCCTTACCACCACTGCAATTTAAAAAAAATTCTAACTTTGATGCTGATCAAGTAATTTTTATTTATTTATTTTTAAAATTTGTTTTGGGTTAATAGGAGGGGCCATAGGATTAGGTTACGTCGTTTGGATTTGTAAGGTAAAGTCTGAGTTGTAGTTGTGACCTTCACCCAGGAGCGGGCCATATACCCCTACATTGTACCTGATAGCTGGGAACTTACCAAACGACCTCCCCCTCCTTCTTGAATATAATTGAGTTTTTCTTTCATGTTTGC